CCCATCCCCCCCTCACACCTGGCCGGTCTACCTAAAGATATGGCTGGGAGGACAGGCCCCAGTATCTACAGTACTTGTTGAACAAAGGAAGTAGGGACTAGCATGTAGATGTATATCGGGCGCCTGACTCAAGGTGAAGAGGTCCCCCCGGCTTCAGTATCCTGCTCAGTCAATCCCCTGGACCCCAGGGTAATCAATGCTGTCAGGATCCCACAGCTGCGTGTTAAGATGTTTAGTCCAAGCTAAAAAAAAGTAGTCAATGCTGATCCTTTGAGTATTCTAGAAGCAATTGAGCATGACGGATCTGACTGCAACCAAGCATGGTTTTGGTCTGTCAATCATCGCTGCGAAAACGTTCAACTTCCTGTACTGTTTGCTTACTCACTGCATAAATGATTAAGCGGATTGCTATTATGGTATTGCCATTGTTAACATCGTACACCTATTTGACAAGCTGCTGGTTTTCGAACCTCTGAAGCAGTCTGACCTGCTTACAGCATAACTGATTAACCGGATAACTATTACCACGGTTAATCTATGTAACAGGCTGCTGGGTTCGAACCTCTGACCTGCTTANTCTGACCTGCTTACAGCATAACTGATTAACCGGATAACTATTACCACGGTTAATCTATGTAACAGGCTGCTGGGTTCGAACCTCTGACCTGCTTACAGAATAACTGATTAACCGGATAACTATTACGTGATCTTATATCGACCTTTCTAAGTACGCTGTCACCCAACAGCTCCTGGGGGCCAGCACGGACAAACATCAGGGGAAAACAACACAAAACAAAGAGAAAGGAAGTGGAACTCGCAGGAAGAAAGATACAAGGAAAAAAAGAGTGATACGTACGCTAAGAGTAAAAGCGAGCAGCACTTAGGATGTGCTTCGATATTCGGCTTTCAAATTGATACTGTTTTGGACAAATTCGAAAATTATGATGTACTTCGACATTATCAGATTCTATATTCCTGCTTTCAAACTGGATGATATAATCTAGCTCGGCATCAGACGGGATCGTCGAATCAAGACTGCTCTCTACAACAAAAACAGCAGCGACAACTACAACCACAACCACAACAACAACAACAATAACGACAGTTCTACAACTACAACAACGACAACAACGACAACAACGAATGGGTATTAGACAAGAACAAGAACAAGAACAAGAACAAGAACAAGAACAAGAACCAGAACCAGAACAAGAGCAAGAACAAGAACAAGAACAACAACACCAACACCAACACCAACACCAACAACGATAACAAATGGGCATCAGACAGGATAGTCGAATCAACACTATTCTCAATGGCAACAACAGCAACCAGAGCAAGGACAAGGACAAGAACAAGAACAACAAGAAGAACAAGGACAACAACAACAACAAATGGGTTGAAATGGGCATCAGACATCTGGGCTATATTCCTCTGGTTAGCTCGGGGTATACAAAGCATGGATCGAGTCTGCGCACTTGCTGTGGCCTGAAGAAACAAGAATATGACAAGGAAGGAGGGGACGAAGGGGAGAATGCGAACATGCAGTCGTGGATAAAGAGAGGGACGAAATAGGCCGTAATGCAGGTGAGGTTCCAAAAGGGATAATATTTGAGAAAAAGAAGCAAATCAAATGCATGCAAGATAGGAAGGAGGGGGGATAAACGAACGGAGTCCAGTCAAGTATATGAGAAGGGGGCGTGATAAACGAAGGGCCCAAGGGGGCGGGGGGAAAAGGGGGGGAGGAGGGGAGGCGTGAAGAGGCGAGACATACCCCGTCGATCACAAGCTGCGTCCAAAGCAAGTTATGGGAGAAATACTTGTTCGATGTGCATGCCTTGATGAGGCACATGAGGCCGAAAATGAAGGTATATATGAGCGCAAGGAACATCATAATCACCAAGAAAATAAACGCCCCGTAGTCCGTGAACTCAGCTTGTGCTCTGACCTTCCCCCTGGCAGAAATCATCACTCCAAAGGCAATCAGGCAGAATAAGAACTGCAAGAAGCGCAAAATGAACACCACTCCCACATGCGGACCATCGACCCGACTGGAGGGCCCTCCGTAATCCTTCGCCTCTGTGCGGAAAACACTCGCCATCCTGTCCTCCCCCCTCTTTCCTATCTGAGCTCGCCTCTCCGGTTCGTCAATGCACACGCACACACACACCCACGAACACGCACACACACCAAAAAACAAAACAGAGAAAAAAAAATGTTACCTCGCTACTTCACTACCCAATTGCTTCCTCAGTCGCTCAGCCGTGAGGCCGTTCGGTCAACCAGTGCGCTAGCCAATTCCCCGAGTTCCTGTTCCTCGGAAGAAGTCACCTCTCTCTCTCTCTCTCTCTCTCTCTCTCTCTCTCTCTCTCTCTCTCTCTCTCTCTCTCTCTCTCGTTCGCTGTGTGTCTGCGTGTTCCCACTGCCTCCCAAGCAACGAGCGTCTGCACGCGGCCTGCCCCAAGGCGCAAGAACGGAACGAGGGCGAAGAAGGAACAGAATGCTCCTCTCCGCACCTGGCCACCTCCTCAGAATGTCTCGTCTGATTTCATGCCTGTTCCTGACCGTCTACGAACCACCTGATTCTGTATCTCGTTTTCCTCATGTGTTCTTACACATTGAACGCCTTCGTATATGTATGGCCGTGAACATACACGAACCCGGAACTGACGTTGTCAGTACGCGTGGCTGGATATCTGGTTCCTTATGTTCATACGCCGCTACAGGATTCAGCAGCCTGGCAGCTTGCTAACAGCAACACGACGCGCCGCGCACGCGCACGCTACATTATATGACACGCGGTCAATCGAGCGGGCGAGCGAGCAAGAGAGAGAGAGAGAGAGAGAGAGAGAGAGAGAGAGAGAGAGAGAGAGAGAGAGAGAGAGAGAGAGTAAGTACAGAGAGAGAGAGAGAGTAAGTAGAGGGTGTGAGGAGCACAGGAAGTTAACGAGTGTCACTGAGAAAAGAAATCGAGGTATTGTTAGTGACGAGCAACAGAGTTATGCACTTCAGAAAGGACTGTATTACTGGGAAACCAGATGGGATCGATCTATCGCGAGTTATACCCGAGTTACACCTGGGGGTTGCAGATATGGCTCGTCAAGCACAACGCTGTCCTAGCCTCCTAGCTCCTTCCCTCGAACACAACGAACCGTGATAACGAATATATACAAGCTATATTTCGGGACCAGTGCAGCGAAAATGAGGGTGCGTTGTGTTCGGGGGAAGACGGTAGGCAGGGACAGAATCCAGTACGGCGAATTGCCAGGGGAAAGTAGACGAGAGGAAATGAGACTGGAAAGGAGAAGAGGGGGTGCGAAACGAGAGGAGAGGGACGGAGAGGACAGGGACTTCTGACGATGCAGTGGACCTCGTTAGTCGCTTCTTGCTTCTTCTTCGGCATGCAATCGAATCCCAATATCCACAGCTGAGGCCAGTGTATAGCAGAGTGTAGGAGCAGATGAGCCAGCAGCCAGACGATGGCGTCCAACCCTCACAGACAACACAGTCAGCGAAACAGTTCGAGACGTGGACCCATCAAACTTCGAAGTGAGGGAAGAAGCTTGCGATACCTTTGCTACTCCAAAGTTCTACTGGAATGCTTGCATGGTATCGAACGCTTACCGCAGACCCAGGATAACTCACTGAATGCAGATGAGCGAGCAGGAGGGAAGCTGGAGAGGAAGCTGCCCTCGTCCCCCGAACATAACGCACCCTGATATGAATGTATACAAGCTATGTTTCCTGTCCGATACGGGGGAAGACTGTAGGCAAAGGTCAGAGAAAAAGGGCAAGCAGGGCAAGAAGGTCGGAAGGAAGGCAAGCGAACAACGCGCGAGTCACACACGGTGCAAACATCTACTAGACTCTGAACGTGGCCGTTGAGGGGTATAATGGGGCCCTTTAAGCGAACTTCAGGGTTCGGAGGTCAAGATGAGGCGAAGGGGGTCTCATCAGACCCCACGCGAAGCCAGAACGAGCCGAGGAGGGCAAAGGGGGTTCTTCAGGGGGGTGATCAATGACGTTATTCATGGGGTAAGCAAGGCAAGTGGAATTCTTTAGGGGAAAACGAGCAAGCGGGAGTTCTTCCGGGGAAAAGAGCAAGGGGGATTCTTCAGGCGAACGAGCACGTCGGGGGTTATCCAGCATGTACAGCCAGAAAGGAGTCACGTGGGCAGAGATCAGCCAAACAACTACAGCGCATCGAGGCTTTGTCGAACCTTCGCGAAGCCGAGCGCAGTTCGAGAGAACGTCTCACAGTAGCGAAGCGAAGCGAAACCAAGGCAGCTTAACCCAACCCAAGTAACTAAGACAAGACAAGAATAAGGTGTAAGGTAGGGTAGTCAGCTAGGAGTCTAAGCGGGCGAACTGCAGCAAAGCGGAGCCAATCCAACTAGAGGAGGACTGCAGCGAAATGGCTTCCGGGAGGGAAGCAGGCCATTCATTCAATCTCGCAGTCGAGGGGGTCGCACCATGCCAACAGAGACATGTAGCGCCAGCTTTGGGTAAGTAAACCACATCAAGCGATCGAAGCGTTGCAAAACTATAAGTGAGATACAGGATCTCCTGCACAAAGGTAGGCGAGACGTTCGCACAACCCAGCCAAGCTAACCACGGACAGGTGCTCGTCTTTGCGCAGTCTGGAACCGGGAATCCCGCCGCAGGGACATTCATCTACACTCAGTCTTTTGCCACCCAGATACACAGTCGGAGACAAGGAGGAGGAGGATGGGGAGCAATGACCACTCCGCAGCAGATGAACAGAACCGTCGCTGGCGAGGTAAAAAACAAGAGCAGACGACCTCGCGCCACTCGCGGTGGAGGGGTTGACGATCGCGTTGCATGCACGACCTCCCCAAGATACCATCCATAGCAGCTGCACATGCGACGTGGCCTACTTAGGGAGTGGACCAGTTGGATCAGTGAACGTGATGGGCCAGAGGTTTAACGGATACGTGAGCACGGAGCAGTGCTGATTATGGTCCACGGGCGGGAAGGGCCAGGGCAGGGCGGACCGGGGCGGGCCGGGGCGGGCCAGGGCGGGGCGAGCAGAGGCGGGGAAGAAGGGGCAGCGGAGCGCTTAGACTGGAGCGAAACGTGGTCGGGCTGCTTGCACAGCCCCTACGGTTGACGGTGCCGGAAGGCAAGAGACGGGCAAAGACAATTGACTACCTGTAGGATTCTAGGACTCGGTTTAGGTCAACCTACGACGGACCGAACGTCATTGCCAAACGGGTCCGACGCCAGATCGGCCAACGACCGACATGCCCGTTGGGTCTTCAACTTCCCCGTCGGGTCGTCTCCACGGGGTCTACGACCCAACCAAGCCGGTCCAGCACCACAAGAGAAGGGTAATAACCATATATGCCACCCCGATACTTCACCACAGGTGGTCAGAGTTCGCCTGATGATAGGGGAGGGTCCAACTGATATGCCACGCGGAGGCCGTAGTTCCTTTGTTGATGTGGTTCAGGAAGGATAAGGTAGTGAATATGCTGTATGTATGTTTTGTCAATTTCGCTATATTGTCTACCACGTGGGCACGGGGAACACAGCCCTAAGGTAGCCAAAGCAATGAGACTAAGAGCGCAAACAAGAGAGAGAGAGAGACTCTGAAACACCCACGGACGCGTCCGCGGGGTCGAGCTCGGATGGCGGCGGTATATACGGCCACGTCCGCGGCCGACCTTGTCTGCGCCGAGGACGCGAATTTACCATATTTTTCCTGAATTAAATAATGGGAAAAAAATAAATAAAAAATATGGGGTTGTAGGGATTTTGAATCCCTACAACCCTTTTTTTTTTTTTTGGAAACAGATAAGTTTTTAGAATTATAAAAAATAAAAAACAGAAAAGGCGAAGAAGAGAAATTGAAAAGTAAATAATAAAAAAAAGTTTTTTTTTGGGGGGGGGGGATTTTTGGTTGGCAGTCCTTTGTATTCTTCGTTTTTACGTTTTTTTTTTTTTTTTTTTTTTTTTTTTTTTTTTTTTTTTTTTTTTTTTTTTTTTTTTTTTTTTTTTTTTTTGTCCTAAGGAAACAATCAAGGAATGGAAAACAAATATATGTTTTTTTTTCCGGGGCCTTTTAATATTTGTGTGTGAACGTACGTGTGTGTGTGTGTGTGTGTGTGTAGAGTGCGTATTGCAACCATAGCAACCCATCATGGGAACCTCCACATACCTTTGAATTGGCTGTACTTTCTCGGCGGTTGGTCAGGAGAGCTCACCTTGTTGCCATAGTGCTGTGTCCTTGGGTTCCTGCGTATACAGATGGTACAAACCAATGGCGAAAGGTGGAAGGGAGAGAGATGAAGGGGGAGAGCGCGAGAGAGAGAGAAGGAGGGGGAGCACGATGGGCAATGCCATCGAACACTAGTTGTATTTGCTAGCGGAGGAGGGGTGGCGCATCCCTTAAAGCGCTTTTCGCCGCTTGCACCTATCACGGCTCATCAGAGGGTGTGGTTCCTCTGGCTCCCAGTGGTGGTGAGTAGGGCATGAGGTGAGGAAAAGAGCAGTCGGTGTCCTGCGAAGAACTTACCACGTGCTCGTTAGCGTCGGCTTCGGCGAGAAATTTGTCCATAGCCATCATTCCTGTCCTCGTACTCAGTTAGAGACGGCCCAACGTGATCACAGTGTTAGGCTTCACTGCCTGCGTTCTGCCGATCAGATCTTAGAGCAGCTGCGTTTGTCCACGTGTGTGAACTATTAGCAACTGCTAAGGAGGTAGGAGTAAGGAAGGTAGGGAACCTCCTTTCTCAGATAGCTATGGAGGGTGTAGTGGTTCCACCCGTAGTACCGAGTCTGAGGTTGAGAAGACGAGAGCGGGGGAGGAAGAGAGCAAGGCAAGAAGTATCATATGCAACCAGCAACCAGCAGTGGGGAACTTCGGCCGCAGATGCGAAGAAACCCATTGACCTCGATTTTTAAGCAAGTGCAAATAGGTGAGTGTGTAGTTGGAGTGCGTGAATGGTGTGTGGGGGCAGATGGGTATGCTCGGTGAATGTGTGAGTGTTAGGTTGTTGTGCTGGCGAGGTTTGGGTTGGATCTGGTAGGGGTAGTGAATCAGGTGTGTGGTGGGGGTGTATGTAGTATAGGTTTTTGCCGACCATTAAGCATTTCGTCGGGAGGCTGGTTAGAGTGTTTTTTTTTTTTTTTGGTTTTCGTGATGTGGGGGGGATGGTTGTGCTTGTAGCGATGAAGGGCGTGCCTTTCGTGCATTTTTTGCAGGTTTTTGTCTTCTTTGCAAGTTCACAGGTGCTGTTTGTTCGTTTGTGCGATCGTGAGTGGAGTGGCTCGTGTTATGTCCGTTTGGGTTGTGCAGGGGTTTTGTTTTTTGTAGTGTCTGCGTTGTGTTGAGTCGTCTCGTTTTCGTATGGATTGTCTGTTTTTGGCTTTTGTCCTGTAGTGGGAGGAAAGTCGTGCTTTTTATTATTCCTTAATTTTGCGGGTCATATGTGAGGTGTTGCTCTGGCGTTCCTGTCTTTGTTGATGAAGTTAAAGAATGTTGTTGTCGACATATATGTTTTGTGTTTTTTGTTTTTGTCGTTTTGCTCTGTTCGTGTGGGTTAGGATTTTGATTTTTTGGTTCTGGATTCCGTAGGTCGTATTGTTCATGCACGGGGGGGGGGGGGGGTCATTGGGGGTGTGAGTTTGGGGATGGTGGGTGAGAAAGGGGTCTTTGTTTATTCTGTTGTATGCTTTTTCATGGGATTTCGTGCGGAGAGGGGGCGCGGGTTCGATGTTTTGAACATTTCATCATGCGTA